TATCACCATTTTTCCGAATATTGTCATGTGGTTCTTGATGTACAGAAGCAATTACTTTTGATATTGTCCAAGAGGAATCTTTTACTTTGCGAATTTTCTGTTTTGAAACAGCAATCATTTCTGCTTCTGGTTTGTGAATGTGTTTTAACCTGTTGTATTCAATAATAGCTTCTTCACTTGCTTTTACAGTTAAAGGATCAAAATTACTTAAATGCAATACTTCTAGAGATGTTAGTCGTGACAATGCAACGTACATTTGACCACAATTAAATATCAAAGTACCTATGTCCATAATAGCATTNGACAAACTCAATCCTTGACTTTTATGAATAGTAATTCCATAACTCAAAGACAATGGAAATTNTTTTCTAATAACATAAGCTTTTTCCATCACCTAAAACTTAACATTTACTTTCTCAATTGAAAATTCTAAACCTGACAACAAGCAAAGTTTTATCTTTTCTACATATTCACTATTCANAATATTTCCAATAACCGAAACCANTGTACTTATTGTACCGTTTACAAGTCCTAAGCTAGCATCAATATTGCGTCTTATCATAAGTTTGCTCCGATTTTAATAATAATTGTTTTCAAAAGTCCGGTTGTTTTAGAATTATCATTTTCTATATCCGACAGTACTTTTAAAACTTTCTTTTTTACAAACGGAGTACATTCTATCGTATTTTCCGCAATTAATATTATTTCTTTCTCCNTAATACGATTTAACATTGCCGCATTAAGAACGTCACACATATAACAAGGCAAGTAGGCAGTAAACATACGATATGTAATAAAAAGTTTTTAAGAATATCACATAATTAGTTTAATCTTGATTCCATAGAAGTACTTTCAAAAGATAGTTTTCTTTTTGAGAGAATCTTACAATCAGACGGAGTCACTAAACCAATACAAATTCTCGACAATGATTCACGATAAGTGTCATCTNCTTGCTGTCGCATATTGATTGTTAGTTNATCATAGTCAAACAAAGTAATCCATAGGTTAATAGCTCCTATAGACCCAAGATATTTATTAACTGTTTCCTTTGATAAGCGTATAAAAGCTGGATTATCGTGTACAGGAGGTAATTGAAGTAAATCTCCAAGTAAAAGAATGTGCTTTCGACCAAACCAACCGTCATCAGAGTCAGTAGTATCGAACATTTGAGACAATCGAAGATGTATGTACATTAAAGTCAAATTAGATATCATTGACACTTCATCAATTATAATGAAAATAACATCTTTGAGTTCTGCTCGTAAAACTTTTACTANGTGATCAGATAACTGTTTATATTTTGGAGTAAAACCGTGTTCAACAGGNACTTNAAGTAATCTATGAACTGTCAAACCGTCTATATTAAACGCTGCAATACCAGTANGAACTGCTACAGCAGTATCTTTGTTGAGAGTTTGTTTTATCCAACTTTTGATGGTTTTAATTAAGAAACTTTTTCCACCTTCTCCGCTAATATACAATCGTAATATTGATTCATCCGATCTTACAGTGCTAACAATTTTATCAAACACTCTTTTTTGATCTGTATTTAATTTTGCTTTCATATCAGATACATNGACTTCTTTGTCTATTTTTTCATNATATTGCAATGCTTCTATCAGATGTACGTTTACTTTGTGAAATGATTTTGTATATGTATCACANTCTTTAAGTTCTTCTAATTTTCGCCATGGTTTAAACATGAGTAATAATGCAAAGAAATAATTCTCTGGTTGTATATTAACATTGTATTTGTAATGATTGATAAGATATCCACGTTTTCGTCGTTTAAGATAAAGACCATTATCTATTATGTAATATTCGACATTCTTAATTTTTGGTTTACTCTTTGTGAGATCGTACCACTGTGCAAACTCATAAAGAGACACGCTTTCCAATTCTTTCGGTCTATCTGGATAACTATTGTCTATCAAAGACAGGCAAAATATATCTGTAGATTCACTATCAAGTTCTTCTATCTCTTTGCGGCTTCTTAATTTTCTATATCGTATTAGATTAACATCTAGCCATCTAATAGTCGTATTTCGGTCCGTTCTGTTTAGGAATACCTAACAATGTGTCAGCAGCTTTGAGAGCNCCACATTCTCTATTATGCATGAACCGCAAAGCAATATTCCAAAGGTAACTTCCCAATGATTAGTTTTGAGTATTTTTGCTATTGATAATAGATTCAGATAATTCACGTTTTCCAGTTTTATTTCTATACTCACGTATCATGTAAACAATGTTGACTTCTCACCGATAAATTGTATATCCATATTTNCTTCCCACGCAGTAAGAAAGACAGGATAATAATCATTTATATTAACTTTATTCTCTGTTCGAGGAAGATCGTAAAGTCTACTTTTATGTTTCAAATGTTTTCTACCTGCTATCAAACTTGCAACATCTCTTATGTTCATTGTTTCCGTAACAGAACGAAGAAATCCAAAACAACATCTACGTACAACTTTATGTTCTACCTTCTTAGAACGGAGACAATAATTGTTATGTATGTGTGTTTGATGCGTATGGACACGTCTGTATAATAGCGGTGATATATTTTGATTCGGCATTTTACAAGTTACATGTTGCAAAATAAAGTTGGAAACTTCTTTAGTGGACAATTCTCCTATGATCGGTGCATTTTTAATCCAAATTAGTAAATGAAAATGTTGTATACCTCTACCTTGATATTCTCGTCGCTAGAAAAAAA